CCAAAGGCAAAAAAAAAAAAAAACCCAACCCCAAGCTCCTTATGCTTCAGCCATGTTCTCTTCCAGTGGAAACTGGACCAAGGGACCCTCGTTACCTGCCCTGGTGGACATGACCCTGGGCGTCTGCCCCCCTGGCCAGGGAAAGGTCATATGTGCCCGAGTTCCTCCATGTTCATCACATACCCCCGGTCAGAGCTGGCCCTTTGGGGCCATTAACAGCAGCTTTCACTCGGTCACCCCTGGCAAGAATGGGGTAGCAGGGGCACCCCTCTCCCCCCAGCCTGGGCACCAGGTGTGTGTGCATCACTTAACAGCCATTAGAGCTGCAGAAGTCCTGCACACGCACACACACACACCCATAGCGAGAGCAGGAACTGGTGGAAACGCTGGTTCATGGCACTGCTTAACCCTGGCACCACCCTTGCCTCGGTGTTCGCTATGTCGCCACCGCATAGTTGAAGCTGCTAACAGCTTCCCCTCCTCGCCCTGTCTGTCGTGGACAGGGATACAGTGCTGGAAACTGCCCCATGGACTAAACCCCAAAGGGGCCCCTCAGAACCCACTGCTCAGACTAACCACCCCTGCCCCTGTCTATCAGGGATGGTCTAGACAGTATTTGGTCCTGATATGAGGGCAGGGGACTGAACTCGATGACCTCTTGAGGTCCCTTCCAGTCCTAGAGTCTATGAATCTACCCCTCATTGCCCAGGGAAACAGGACCATGGCGAGCAGTTCCAACTGCAGCGTGGCTAGAGGTTTATTCTCCTGCCCTGCGCCAGAGATCACAGCGATCTGCAGCCTAGAAAGAGGTCCTCAGGAAACAGACCTGAGACATTTAAAAACAAGCCCTTCAAAGTAACACGACTCCCCCTGGAAAACCGGATCCCTCCACCCTGCGCGTGCAGACGTTGCTAGCAGAGCGCCGACTCGGCCGGGTCATTGGAGCTCAATAAGTCCTGCTGCTGGTGGCTGGAAGTGTCCCCTTTGGACGGATGATGGTGGAGAAGTCTCAGTGCAGTCCCCTTCCCCCGCACTCTTCAGAAGAGCCACAGAGAAGTGAGTTGCCCACAGTCACAGTGAGACAGCGTCAGAGCCAGAACAGATCCCGAGTCCTGAATCCTGCCCCAGCACTGTAGCCACTAGACTACACTGCTGCTCAGAATAAAACCTAGGAGGTCTCACTCCACCAGCCCGTCTAGAACTCGGAGTCCTGATGCCCATGCCCGGTTCTGCCCCCCAGAGAGCATCTCCTCTCAGAGCTGGAACAGAACCCAGAAGTCCTGGTTCCTGGCCCCCCTTCCTCTTCCCAAGAGCTGACACTCCCACCCCAAGACCGGTACGGTGGAAGCTCAACCAAAATAAATAAAACATAAAAGCACCAGAGTAATTGGGCAGGGGGAGGAGGGGTCAAATCCAGACTCGGGACCCTACAGGAACATCTGTCCATCTCCTCAGGGAAGGGGCGAGGGAGGAAACATCGACAGCCTAAAGGCAGATTGAAAGTCAAGCGATCCCGAGGGGGCAGGAGAAGGACAACGTCTTTCCCTCCGAAGGAAGCTGCTGTCTGCTTTCCTCCCCAAGCGAAGATTGGGGTTTCCGGGTGACACACAGCGAGGGTCCCAGGGCAATGCCGGCGGGCAGGGGAGGAGTCCGCTACAGGGGATGTCCAGTTTGATCCAGGCCTTCGTGCTTCACAGCTCATCATGGGGGATGTTCAGGGCATGGTCGCACAGATCTACGCATACAAGCACACACCATTAGAACATGGGACTTCCCAGACTGGATCAGAGCGGAGGTCCAACCAATCCAGTGTCCAGCACCAGCTGCTCCAGAGGAAGGGTAAGAACCCTGCAGGAGGCAGCTGTGGGACAATCTCCTCCTGTCCCCCCGCCCCACCCCTCGCCAGTTAGAGGTTGGTTCATGCAGTGAAGCAACAGAGCTCACATTCCTTACACAATGTGATCTTGTGGCAATGAGTTCCACCGGCTAACTGTGCCGTGTGTAAAAAGCACTTCCTTTTCTCAGCTGGGAATTTGTGCCTTTCGATCGCACTGAATGTCCCTGTATTATTTACATTATGGTAGCACCTCGAGGCCACAAAGCAGGGATTAGGCCCCGTTGTGAGAGTTTCCTGCACCTGCAGACAATTGGCTTTGCCCCAGAGTTTACAGTCTAAGCATTTTGCTGCCAGTCTCCAGATCAGATCGTCAGTAACATTTCTATCCACTTGTAGGAAACAGACAGCGGCTACCACAAGCATGTCCCTTTCCAACTGGCTTAGCAGCCCCTGGCCGGGGAAGTCTGCAGCTTCCCGGTCCCTTTTAACATGCAAGAGGATTCCCATATGCGCCTCCGTCTGTATGATTCCAAACACCACAGACTGGCTCACAGCCGCTTTGCTGACCGCAGCATTTCTAGCATCTTTCACACCAAAGCTCAATCTACCTGGAGGATAATTTCATCCTCACTAAAATGCAGCCACCTCTGGGGTGGGACGTAGCAGCTGTTCAACGCGGTACAGTATCACAGTGCCTCGGTCTTGAAAGAAAAGCAGCAGTTTGTAGGCGAATGAACCGGGGCGGGAAATAATTGCCTCGTTGGGACGTGGCCAGGACACTGGGCTAACACCCTGACATGGGATCGACAACTTAAGACTCTCGTTCATGTTCCCAGAGGCAGGTCATCCCTCCTAGAGGTGGCGAGCACAGGAGACCATGGGACTCCCAGCCATTGACTGCAGGGGCCGGCTGGCTGTGCAGCCCAAGGACAAGGCAGCTGCTCACGTGAGGACTGAAAGCTCTGGCTGCCGGCCAGAGAACAGGGACTGGCTGGCACAGCAGTGACCTGGCGGGGGGGGGGACG